CTTGAAAATGATTCAATTAATCAATGAACTCCAAAGATAAAGGGGGTCCGGGTTCCCCCGGAAAAAAATCGATTTCTAGATGGCGGGAGATGAGCTTTCCTGACTTCTGAAATGTCTTTTCATGACTTTTAAAGCTCTTCAAAATTCAAGGTTTTCCCCTTTTGAAATAGGTCAGGTAAATTTTTCTCATTTTTTATTATATGTGTGTATACACACATAAACAAATGAGTAGTTGCATGCGTATTCTTTTTTCCATGAATCGATAAATCCCAAAAAGAAAGAATTTCTTAGATGGCGGGAATTGAGCTTTCCCGACATTTGAAGTGTGTTTTAATGAATTTTACGTTCTTCAAAAGTCGAATTTTCTAATAGCAAAAAAAAAAAAAAAAAAAAAAAAAAAAAAAAAAAAAAAAAAAAAAAAAAAAAATCAGCTCACGGGTCCTGAAAAGGTAGGTCCAGAATTCTTTTCTTTTTGCCTTTCCCATCCTTCTACCCTCCTTCTTTTTTTGCATTTCCGATCATACAAAAATCTCCAGACATTATATATTTTTCGCCAAAAAGCTCCGCCGGCCATGCACCAATACCTATAATTTTCCCATCAAAGATTAACTGAGAACCCCGCATTAAGAGATAGTCACATGAGATTATCACAAAAATCACCAATGAGGAGTTTAACTATAGAGACTCCAAATTCCAAATAAGTTTCGTCCAGGCACCTATAACAACTCACTGGTCCGAGGCCCGTAAGGTACCCCTACGGCTTACTGCTTCCAGAATGATCCACAATCAAGAGGGACCAAGCCGTACTACGATGATCTCTATTGTTGGCGTACTTGAGCTTTATACTTCAATTAATTTTGTGTTTTAAAGTAGGATCAACTTTTGTACCCAGCTCCACCATCGATTCGTATTTAAGACTATTGAATGTCGACAAGAAATGTTGAAACATGTTGACGTAATACTTATTTACCCATATAGAAAATGAACGCAACCTCCAATGTTCCTGAACTTTTGATTTCATTTGCTTTCTGAAGGCTCATTCATTCATAAAATACGTTCACATAGTTGTGAGACCGCATAGTTGGTTGGCCGTCTAGTCTTACATTTGACATTACATTATAATATCCACGTTACAGTGGAGTTGGCTGGCGTCATCATGTGGTACTTGAGACCTGTTTTGCGATCAGCTCTAGTTTTTAATACCAGGAATGTCCGTTTTTCTTTATCCAGCGTTTCAGCACGTACTGATAGAGTCCAAGATCAGGAAAAGGTAAGGAGATAGATTGCTGTTAATAACAGTTTCCATTTCGTGTGTGTGTGGCGCCAATAGCTACCTAGGCTGGCGTTATAACCCGATAGATACCGGAATAAACCAGATAATTAAAACAACGTTCTGTTCTGTTGCCAAGAGGAAAGTTAGGCCTGTAGGCCTAATAATATTAATAATAATAGGTCAACGAAAAATAAGCCAAAATCCGGCTCTATTATCCGATTATCGGCTTATGGTCTGGAGTATCACTCTGGTTGAATAGTGGCGCGACAGAGGAGGGACTAGCCTAGTCATAGTTTCAATTTGCTTGCAAAAGCCTAAAGGCAACAATTATTAATTGAAGTATTCGAAGAATAAGGGGGAGGGGGGGCCACAATATGAAGTTCACACTGCCACGCCCACCTCTTCCCCAGTGGCGGCGCCACTGGTGGGGGGAGGGCGGTGCTGAGGCAGGTGGCTAAGCCCCCACCTCACCGGACAGGTCAAGCCCCCCCGCCGGACAGAGCTCGTCGGGCAGTCAGACCATAAAACATATAAAAATAGTCCCACACCAAGCCAACACATTGTCACAGTCTGAGAGTGCCATTTGCGGCCATCCAGAGGTTGTATTCTTTAAAAAATCTCTTTTTGGAAGGGGAACCTCCTCTCAACCCCTTTCTCCAGCTCGAGCCTACGAGCTCAAGTCCCCCGTTGGACAACTTAACCCCCCCAGAAAATATATCCTAGAGCTGCCACTGCTCCGCCCCACCATGGCTGGTGTAAGTAAGTGGTAAACAATCTCCTTTCTCCCACTGCTGGATCGCCACAGAATTCATGTGTGCATTCCCTTTCCCCATTTCCTCTCTTTAACTCCAATTTTTCTCCCCCCTTTCTTATTTTTCGGCTTGACCGACGGGGGGCACGGACCCTCATGGGCCCCCTTCCCCCGCTGGATCTGAATTCAGTAATCGTAAGAGTACTAAGTGGTTCAGTTGATGGAGTGTTAGCACACATGACTGAAACTAAACCAATTTAAGTGCCGATAAAGATCAGCAGCTGCAAAAATTTGGTACTACAGTATAAGCATAAGTGATGTTAGATCAAGCACTATCTGTAGGCCCATTAAAATTTTTTGTTATTGTAAATTCAAAAAGGTAATTATTTATTGTTTATACACTGAGTGCTTTATTAATTTTTTTACAGATTTATGCTTTTATTTGTATTTATTAGAATTTATTAAATTACTTTTTATTTAATTTGTTTAAATGAATTAATATTATTTTTTATTTCAGTATTGATCAACTCCAGCTGCATGGACCATATTTTTTTAAAACCATATTTATAGAGGGTGACACTTCCAATGTATCCAAGAATGTCGGCTGATATTCAGGTGCCCTCTTAAATAAATGAAATAATGTGATGCGTTTATCAACAAAGTCTCTTTAAGAGGCTTAGGGAGTGGAGTTCATAGGAATTGAACCAAAGACCCTTTGATTAGAAGGCAAGCATCTTAACCACTAAGCTATTCAACTCCACCTGAAAACCATACTCACAAAATATTGCTGAATGATACTGTAAATATTGCTTCAATTTAGGCCTAATTGTTTACCAAGTCGGTTGCCACATCAGCACACCATGCTCACCACACTTCTGAATCTATTAATACATAACCTATTAGCCTACTACTACTCTAATGTTATCAAAAAACTGCTAAGTCATGCTGAGAGGGCGTACATTATATAACCTGAAAGCATTTGTATGGTAATCCAGTGTATCTGTTCACAATTACGATGAAGATGTCTGAAGGTGTCTGTCAGGAGGTAAAAATTAAATTTCATGAACAATTTTTTGAACTGGTAACTACTTTTTGGCCAGGTAATCAATTTTTTAGGCGAGTTGTTTATATGGGTTTATGCTTGCTTAGCAACCATTGCGAGACCTCTTTGGGACCTAAAAATTGGAGGGTTAGCTTAGTGTTGAAAGACTGAAGATTGGTATTTATTTCTTTTAAAAAGTGATCTCGAATTAGAAGGGTCTCGGAATTAGGAGTCTGGAATTAGGAGAGTGCACAGTAGCAAATGTCGTAGCTGGCCTACATTTGTGATACATTTAACCAGGTTAGGCAAACAAAATTTGTGTGTTAAGTGAAGTGAATTTGAAAAAAGACTAATTTATATTCCTGATTGAACATACCATAAATGCCTATTATAATTGGCGTATTGCATTCATTCCATTCTTTTATTTTGGAATCAATCACAGCAAAGATAAACCGTATATTAAATTACTACATAAGAAAGTATAATACATACTCCAAGTTTCAATACTTGGAGTATGTATTATACTTTCTTATCTGAGATTAATCAGTGGACCTTTCGGTTTTTTTTTAAATTACTACATAGGATGTAGCTTATCTCAAAATGCTATTCCACTGAGAAAACACCTTGATTCCTGTAGTATTTTTTCAACTACAGTGGAAACTGCAAAGTTTAGACTTCAGGATTCCATATAAAATCATGAAAAGAGAGAATTCTATTCTCTGTTAAGATGGAGTTGTTATACCGTATATTGTCATGTATATAAGACGACGAGGCATAAAATGGTAAATTATTGTCGAAAAACGGGTTGTAATATACGCAACATATACATTTTTTATTTTTTAATCCATGATGATTGTCTTTTATGTGCTCATCATCTGTAACATGCAAATTAAAATGAAGCTACTAAATGTTAGTGTAAATGAACGCAATTTTATATGGGGAAATTAAGTTTTTGATGAACATTTAAAAGCCCATAAAATAATAATATGGAAGATTAGTCCTACATTTGGCTCCATTTGTAGCCAACTAGATACAGTATGACCATAAAAGGCAGTAAGAAGTAGACCTAAATATTAATATATTGTCAAGTCTTCCCTTCATGGTGACTTAGGCTATGTTCACACACACACACACGGCATAAGGCTGGCTTAAGCATGGCGTAGCATACGCCTTTGTGTGTGAACTAGGCAGTGGCGTTGTTAAAGCCACTCACTACACCACGTCCTTGGCGTTATTAACGCTACCTGCAGAACGCCACTGAGCTAACGCCAGTGATGCTTGAATGATTTTACCTCATTTCAAGAGATTGACCAATCACGATTTCAATATATTTATTTATTTTATTTATTTCAACAATATTTTGTGAGGGTGGTCCATCCAGCCTGAGCTGATCAATTGGGACCCTCAGTACATACAATTAAAACATAAGTATAAAAATTAAACTTGATCTTTAACATAAGCAAATTAATTAAATTAAACCATTAAAAAATTAATAATAATAATAATAATAATAAAAATCAGAAAAAAAAATAAATATGGGCCTACAGTATATAAATTATATATAATAATGATTTAAGGAAAACACTAAAATTAAAAAAAAATTTAAATAAAAAAAAAATTGACATATTGGACAGAATAATAATTGAAATAAAAAATAAATCAAAAGAATTAATGAGAAGATAATTAATTGAACTAACAAAAATAGAAAAATTATAAAAGATTATAAAAGATAAATAATTTACAATTTAAAACAGAACAAAATCATGATTAAAAATATTGCAACAAAAAGAGATGGCCACAGGGAAAATTACACAAGATTGGATGAAAGATAGCTACTTTGGTCTCTTTCCTGTGCTCTCTATAAACGAAATGGTAAAGGGGTTCTTTTTCTATTGCATTTTACTTAGTTGTAATGTATATGATTTGTTGATTGTGTTTTGTAAGATATTTTAACCTATTTAGATT